GAGTTCGATTTCACCAGTGAGAATGAGACCTAAAAGAGCCAGTTCCAGACGTCGGAAGTCTCGTTCACGGACTAAAACTCCGAGTGATTGTAAACGGCCTCGTACGGGTGCTGAAAGGACAGCGCAATGGCGGGCGCGTCGACTGAATACGGTGAGCCAGTCCCACAGCAATGCGATGGAGCAATGCTAGTCAATCCGATGGAGGTGACTCCCGATGTCAGCGACCCACCCTTGCTTACCTATGCGATCGTAGATTTCCATTGCGCTCGGGTAGGAGCTGAGTTTGAAGAAATGATAACGATGCTCGAGTCTTACGAATTACGAATGGCCATTTCGAAGACGTTTCACGTCCTCTACACGGTAGTGGCTCTGCTGCTACCCCTGAATTTTTTCTTTACGGTTTGCTTCTGACACGATCCGCTGTCGAGACCAACAGGGGTCCTGCCAATGAAGAGCGGATCAACACCGACGACGACAACAATTATTATTATCGCTCGCCAACGTAGGCATGAAAAGCCGGCAAAACACGACGACACCGCCGATGGGGATCATTCATCTTGCATAGTGCAAGCGATTCATAATCAGCGGCTCTGCACGAACCGCTCGACGGAGGGTCGTGCCATGGACGGACGGACAAACGAACGTTGCCCAGGCGCGAGAGACATCGTCTCGTGACCCTATACAATCCATCTTGGCGTTGCGAGCTGAGACCTCGATCAAATACTTCGTTCCGCTCCGCGCCCCGAGAGCCGTCGGCCCTTCCCGTCGGCTACGGTCGAGTACAACAACAAGTGATGCTCTTCTCCCGGACTGCGATTAGAAATTAATGGAATGAACAAATGGATGGAACAAATGATGGAACAGCCGCCGACGCAGCGGCGGCAGCAAGCGAGTAGTCGTGGCGCCATACGGAACAATCCACCGACGGAACGAGCCCTCCATCTGATGGACGCCTACGCACCACGGTGCAGACTCCGTGATTTGTGAACTCGCCGAGTGCAGGGAAAGGCCCGGACACCATTCGTCACCATTTGTAGGAGCACGGCTCATCAACAGAGACATCAGACGAGTAACTTACGTCCGTTAAGCGGTCGTCCTCTCCCCCAGTCCCGAGTCAACCTCGTCCGGCAAGGAGTCGACCTCGTTCGATCCCGGGTCGACCCTGTTCGGTCTCAAGTCGACCACCTCGAGGGATTGACTTACCCGCAATTTTCTGCATTTCCTGGAGCTCTGTCAAGAGCTCAGAGCTCCTTGATTTCTGGGGGGAATTATTCGTTCCGATTTTTTCGGGAATTCCGACCTCAAGACGTCAGTTTGTGACCGAACTCGCCACCGATTCCCTAGTCTACGCCTGTCACGGTAGTCGACGCCGGTCCACGCCGGTCACGGTACCCCAGGGGTTTCATTGTCGTAGATATCGACGACAGTTAGGGAGAACCTTCCGACGAGAACATTGGAATCGAGATCGATCTCTCGAGCTTTCAAGCGATTGGAACCGCTCTGTGACGTACTCGGCGAGCGAACTTGGGCATTCGGCAGAAGAAGGAAGGGAAGAGAGATGCCCGAGCGATCAGAAAACAGTGGGTTCTTGGCCCCTGCGAGAGCCTCGTATCTGGTGCCACGTAGCGAGGCGCTTCGTACGTGCCGCATGCGAGTCGATGGATGGATGAATTTCAGGGAGCATACCTAGAGAGACACATTTGTTCCTTGTCATTACGAACATACAGACACGTTTAGCTGTTCTTAATTGGCCCGTTCGGAGCACCGTCTCCCAGGAAGTATACCGCCGAACCGCCTGGGATTAGATAGTACCGAGCAAGCGCCCTCCGAGACATTAGTCAGCGAAAGCTGCAGGACTGACATGTCGAAATGAGACGTGATCTACGCATTCAATGTACCTAGATTTGTCGGGGGATTCCGACCGCGGAGAGAGGAAGCCGTGAACGGGATCCTAGTTTCACGTCTAAGAGTTAATTCGCGATCCAATGTTCGTCCGGGACGTTCACTCCGCTAACGAGCGGGTCAACATGACGCAGCCATCCGCACGAGCTCTTCGACGAGCGCTCGGCATGATCTTTGTCAGTTACACGCGCTTCTACGCTCCAGACTCCTACTGATGAGTACGATTAGTGTTGCTATTACGACTGAAATGAGCGCCAGCGTATCAGCCAATTACCAACACTGATTCACGTTTCACGGCGGGAGGTACGATACACAGTCGCATGTATCACGATTTGCCTCTGGAGTCCCTACGAGCGGCGTTTCCGTTAGCGACACCGTTGAACAGGTGAAAGTCAGATGTCGAACATGGACATCGGACTCCCGAAATCGAGATAAGCGAGTGCGCTGACGCTCACGGTAACTGATCGATATTTCAGGTGGTGCTCCTCTTTACGTTCGGAGAGAAGCCATCTATCATGAGCGCTCAAAACCATACACTAGCCTCTGTCGATCCGGTGGAGTCGATCCGCGAGAACCAGTAGCCCGAGAGATTTGTGAGGGGAATTTCACACCTCGACGCTAACATGCATTATACAACGTGTGATTGCGAGCTATCGAGCGGAATCATCGCGCGGAGTCGAACCACTGACCGCATTGTGCTCGCGAGAGTATCGCAGGAGCCTCATTTCCCATCATCCGGAGGAACAATGACGAACGCGGCGTGTCACTGTCAGATCACACTCCGGAGCGATGTTATTCTTATTCGATCGTGGGAGACTTCAAATTGAAACGACCTTGACGAACGCACGACTGCCCGCTCGTGAGATTTTAACGATTCCAGGATCCACGGAGCTTCTGTTGGAGCTTGCCACTGTGACCATTGCTCGTGATTAGCTCATGTCCGCCGACTCACTAAGCCGCGACACGGAATGGAGTGCGCGCCCAGACTGCAGTCAACTACCTACATATTCGGCCGCCACGGACGCTCGAGCTTCGCTCAATACAGCGGGGCTACCCGTGCTTCCAGGAAAAGGGAAACAGTCGATGATCGACCTCATATCACTGCGCCCCGGTCGCTTGCGGTCGGGAGCTATCGCATCGCTCTGATGAAATCGTTTCTGTCGGTAGAGACCGAAACTCGTGAATCATGTTCCGAGTTCCGATTTGGCCATTCGGTTGCTGTTGGATGTCAGCCGATCTCTGATTTCGGTTGAGGACGTGCGGAATCTCTCTCTTGTCAGAGTGTGCCGATTTCAGGAACTCGACCAAATATTGAGAATTCTCTCGATCGTTCGTGCGTACAATGATTTCGTGGTCCTACCCGAGCGGCCCCGATAAGTTCTGATCCTGTACCCCGTTTCCGAGAGAACGAAAATATCTCAGGTACTGGAGGTGTTTTTATTGCAGCGAGGAGGAGCAAGGGTGACGAGAGCGGAACCCTCCCAATAAATTCAAATCAAGAACTCCTTCGAGACAGACCCTTGTGTATTATGGACTTCAACAAGCCGCTCGCCTGTCCGCCCGCATGCTCACATACATACATACTTGAGTTGCGTAGACTCAGTCAGCTTGATCCCTCACGACTTGTTTGCAAGCCTGCCGGTCCCCATTCGCTTCGTCATGATCCCGGTCCCCTTTTACTCAGCCGCATGAATATTAGTCGCCATAAACTAACCCCGAGAGATATGACTCGGGAGCCATGCGCTGTTTCCTAATTGACAGGGAGCTGGCTTGCACGGTAGGATGTTTCATCTTTTTTTTCGTCGGCTCGTTCTAAGTTTCTCGTTTTTGAATCTGAGTCGAACCGTGAGCCAAGTTCCGGTAGTGCGCAACAACTTACGCTACTCCAAATCTCCTGTCGGTATTACTCCCCCGGAATGGTCGTGAGCGTCTCATTTCTCACTCAACCCTCGGTATCGCGCTACAAACTCCGAAAGGCCTCCCAGCCTTAAAATCTCCCCCATCCCAGACTCTCCGCGATTCCTCTCCGTTTGGCATGTTATCTCCGCCGACCCCTCGGATGCTTTATGGCAGCTCTCCCAGAGGAAATGGCAATCATATCGTAAAGTGTTTAACACATGAATCCCTATGAGGGACGTTGACGCCTCCGGGGGAATGAATAGACTTGTAAGCTCAGTTCATAATGCAGCACCGCGGCTGAAACCTCGAGGGGTCCACGTATAACGCTTAATCAAGCCGTGTTTATGGAATTTATGACGATTACGACCCTTCATCCCTGTCTGCTGCTGCCCCCGTGTCCACCACTCGGAGACAGGCGTCAACGAAACCGGGGACGACCGGCTGAATCGGCTGCTCGCAGAGAGCCCTCGCGTTGCCGTGAGTAGCGACAATGCTCCGGAGGGAAATAGCGGGACCGCTCAGCAACACTCCGACGCACCCACGGTATCTGTTTGGAAACGGGGCGCGAGCTCATTCACCGAGAAATCCACGATTCCGTAGATTCGTGGACTCGACTCGGCGGTAGGCGCGTCGGCGGTAAACAGGTTCCTCCCATGTCTGTGCGTTGCGTTCCAATGGACGTCCGATAACGATATCCGAGCTCAATGGCCAAGAAATATATAAACAATGAATATAGTAAGAATAATAAGTAGGTACACTGATTTCGGAGGAGGGTGAATACCCTAATTTTTGGCAGGGGAAAAATCTAAATCATCGCGAACATCGGGTTGGCGAAGTGAGGGAGGATTCGAATCACCTTGGAGGAGATTCCCTAAAAAATGTGGGGCGACGAATCGCCGGTCCGCAAAGTCGTAGACCCGTTTTCGATTCACCGACAGCACTGGCGGCGGCGGCGGCTGACAGGTTAGATTTCAGCGCAGCAAAACAATCTCCTCCCCAAGGCTATCGCTCCAAGAAATGAAGCCACTCTCGCTTTCTCGACTGCGAGATTCGAGCACATGACTCAGTCAGTCAGAGTGGGAACGAGCTTACGCGATTTCGATAGCAATTGAAAAATAGTGGCAATTTTCGATGAAAGCTCGTTTACATTCGTCCTCGTTTCGTTCTGACTCCCAGGAGTACTTGAAGTGCTGACTCACCTGAGCGGGCTGCGGATCCGAGACTAATTGATCCGCTATGATGGAGTTTCCTTCGAGGTTCTCTGTTCCGCTCATATCGCACACTACACACACACACACAAGACGAAGCACGCGAGTCCAGTTTGACTTGAAGAGCGAGCGACTGTCTGTCTGTCAAACCTGCCGGCCGAATGACTGAAAGTTCGACGGATCCGTGAACCACTATTCAATCTGAGTACAATATCATCGCGCAGCGCACCCTCCCATCGATATCTTCATCGATAAACATCGCGGTACTCGGATTCTGCGTCACTGGATTCCGCGTCCAAATCGACACTCGAGTGCTCGAGACACACAGCATGAGGCAGCGCAATCATACTTCTAACGGGAGAGTCGAATGTTGTTCTGGGCGCCGACGCTTCCAACGCATTGTGTGAGGCGATTCGCTCGCGGGTATTTTTCGCCGGAAACGATTGCGAGATAAACAAAAGTTCAAATTAACCAACCGATCTCCGAGCTCCAATGATGCACATCTCTGTCAGCTGATCGCGATTCCGGCTGCGGAGGAGAGGGAGAGAAAAAGATCAACACGAGCCGGCATTCAGTCAGACGCTCTTTGTTTGTTGACAGCGAACGGCTGTTCCTCTGTCCCCTCGCAGGTAGGTCGGCGTCGCGTCGACGGTTACGGCCATGCGAGGCCGGCGGGTTCAAGGCGGTTTCTTGTATCGGCCAGCTCCACGCCGATCGACGCTCTCCGAGAGACGAGGAGACGAGCGATCAGAACAAGAAGCTGTTGGGAGAGATTGCTGTCTCGCGGAGCGGACACTTGCAGCGGCAGAGTGCGGATCAGCTGGACTCTCTGGACTCTCGGGAGGGAGGGGAGAAAGCGATTCGACTAGACGTTCGCGGAAGTTCCGCTCATCTGCGTCTAGTCGAGCCTAGGACACCTGGAAATCATTCCACGTCACGCGGTCGTTTCAGGAGCCCTGATATGCACCGCAATACGGTACACGCTAAGTTCTGATTCAGCGCAGAAAAATCCGTATCGACAGCAGTTGAAGACGGCGCGAATTTCCGGAGAGACGCCCCGAGAGAGGTTTTGGATCCGAGCTCAGTGGCGAGAAGTATTCCGCGGTCTTGAGGCAACTAATGAGCTGATTTCGATCTCCGAAAAAAATCGCCGGAATCGCTCTAGCTTCCCCGATTGCACGTGAACAAGCCACGAGAGTTGATTATCCATGCTCGATTCGAGGAATTTTTGCCTCTAATTTTAGCTCCGGAGAGCCACGCGGCCGGAGAATCCACCCGCTGCAAAGTCGCGCGGCTCGCTGCCGCGTGGCGAAAGGTGTTGCTGAAAGCTCGAATCGAACGCATTCAGACTCGGAAACCACGAGCCTTATGGTCGAGCCAACGAATCACACTTAGGTAAGAGCGCCTCTCGCACACTAGTGGCAAGCCAACTTACGGCCAATTAATCCCGACCGTCTTCGGTTGGTTCGGCGGCGTCTATTAACAAATCATTTTGTCCACGTGTCTAAGAATGGCACAAGCGACTGTCGGCTGCAGCTTAGAGATTAGCATGCAGGTTGTTCCTGGGTCTATCGAGCTGACGCATTGAGTCTCTCCTCTGACTCGCTCACTCTGTCGGAATTCCTGCCGCGGTCGGAGCCTGGCTCTTCCGGATCAATTCATCTAGGTTTTCTGAATCGCTCGAGCCCGATGTTACTCGGTTCCACTGAATCGCGAGCGTACAACCTATCCGACACATATAATCGGCAGCCGACTCGCGACAGTCCTTGAGAGGTAAATTTACATTTCTGCCAGGTTTCAGAGGAGTGTGCTGCCCGAGATAAGGCGAGCAATCGAATGGCTGCTTAGAGTCGAATTTTTATTGCCTCGATTCGCAACCTCGCTTGAATCATCACCTGAGTATTTTTGTCAACGGCATCTGCTGTTCGCGTCATGCGTTGAATTATTATTATCTGCTGCCCGCACCTTGACTCTGTCGATCGAGTCCTTGTATTCCTGATGTCGGAAGTGAACAGTCGCATGCATGTCCGATGTGGTGAGGGATGAACATAACCGCTGGGGTACCGCCGGATCAGAAACCCAGGGCCAGAGAGACAGAGGGCCAAATAATTTCAGCGCAGTATTCGTTCGACATGTGAATAAATGAGCTGACGGTGTGACGAGACTTTCTTCTATCGATATCGACATTTTCAAGAAGAGTCCGCAGAGGGCTCATCGGATTATCTGCTCACCGGCAATAAGTTTAGAAGTCGACCCGATAGCAGTCAACCCAATCGGTCCGCATAGTATGTCCTATGTGGTCAGTCATTGACATGAGAGCAGGCAGAAGAGCGTATGCCGTGGACAACCGTAGGCGGATCTTTCGAGCCCAAACTCTCCGTTCGAGGCGGTTCCTCCATCGAATCAAATCTCTCCGAATGCTCTGCTCGGATTAAATGCTAATTTTAGCCTGTTGCGGCTTGTACTTGCCGATATGTTGTCCGTATCGTCAATAATTTAGGCGAACGATCCATTTTGCCTGACTGATTGCTCGCGGGCCAGCTCGCCGGCCGGCCGGCCTGCTCGCCTGCCAGCCAGCTCACTGAACTCTTGCCGCTCTCGCTATGTGCCCACTCGCGGAGCCTGCTCAAAACCAAGCGTACAGTTTTGCAGCGATAAAGTCAAAGCCTAATCCAGAGTCTACCGCCAACAGGGGTGCATTGAAGATCAGCTATTTATTGATTCCGGGGCCAGAGGTGGGCTCCGAGCCGCTAGGGCTAAGAGTGGGGCATGGAAAGGAGTACATTTTTGAGTAGCAGCAGCAAGAAGGAGGCATCGCCAGCCGAACAGACGGTCGAGCCCGGCCTCGGAAGGGCTCTACCGCTGACCGTCCAAAAGGGCCATGATCGAATTTGGACGAGCGCCTCTCGAACTTAAGCACCACCCAACTTATCGAGACAGTCAAAGAGATCGCATACTCAACATCCACTCACCACGAACATCTCGGACCAATGAAACGAACCATCGTTTCTTCGACGGAGGAGCAAAAAAAACGATAAGGAATTCACTGGCCATGCGTCGTTGAGAGGAGTTCCGAGAGAAAGTTCGAGAGCCTCCCTCGCAGATGCTTGCTCGAAATCCTACGAAAATTGAGGTTTGCAGAAAAACCGCGGAATGATTCATATCCGGCGCTTGGCTGAGCTGGCATCGATTGGATTCCGAGACTCCCTCCAAAAGGGAAAATGACGAGCCGCTAAAAACTCTGAGAAACTTAGGGGTCCTCCAATATTCCTGATTTCAGCCAACAGTGTCGGAAGCCCCGTGGGCAGCTCCGCTCATTTGCTTATTCAACTTCCCCAACCACCGAACTAGCGATTCGATTCCTGGTTGACGGTGGTTGTTGAATGCGGCGAGGAGAATCGTGGGCACCTCAGCCCCCTATAATTTTAGAGAATGACGCTCTCCACGGCTGCTCTGATAAATTCTACCTTTCGGAGCATATGCTGTTTCCCATGAATTCATCCGCTCTGCTGCCTCGATGCCCCTCGCTGTTGAAGCGTAGCAACCGCAGAACACGGTGGGAACGATGCGGCGAGCGAGACGGGGGAGCGAACTTCAACAATCGCTCGCGGAACCGAGTTCAAGTATACGCACGCGAGCCGCCTGAACATTACAGAGTACGCCGACAGCTGTGGAAGTACTTTTCGGATTCCGAATACAGTTCCCTGCCCGACCTAATTACAGCCAGCGTCGTTCGAGGACTATAACTCCCTATCTCGTGTGATCCGGGAGCTCTTGCGCGAATATTCCCAGCTAAATTATTTCGCCAGCGGTAGCGTGGTTCGGATACAGCGATTTCTGGGTCCGCAATGCGAATATTACAAATCGTACATTGTACTGTACCGATTGTCACGCGCTCTACGGCCGCGGTGTCTCTGTGAGCAGTCTCAAAAATCAGTAGGTATGTCGCTCCATTCACAGTCGTTTCGGTATTCCACGCTCTCGCAATTGGGGGGGGGGAATTCCCGTGGAACTCCGGGAACGGGCAGCGCTCTTACGGAACCCTCTCCATCTTCCCTACGATCAGGTCGATGCGGGCCGGCAAGGAAATTGAAATCTCGGGCCCCATCCGGTGAGAACATTCTTTGTCATTTCAGTAGAACCTCGTTACGACGGTCACGAAAGTATTCCATATCAACTGGGAGTTGTAAAAGCATCTCACCCTCTCTTGTGCACTTTGCAGAGCAAACCGACAGCGTGGGGGGTCTTCTCGGGACTTCCAGGGAGGGCCACATGGAAATGAGAGCCCCTCCTCAGCTTCCAATGGAAGTGTTCGCGTATCGAGGTCCCGAAGTCCGATTCTGGTGTTCGCGGCCGCATGCTTGGCGATCGTTCCTTCGGATTATTCACGGGCGTCGAAATGAGTTGAGCGCTCGTAAGAAACTATCTGTAGGAACCGGAAGATGCGGATGGAGTAAGCAGCTCATGCGAGCCGCACAAGATATTCAACGAAGCTCGTCAGTCCTTCGGCATGCAGACATCGTCAGTGGCTCGAGCGGCCGGCCGGCTGCGATCGCTCGCAAGGACGCTGTTTCGTACATAATGTATCTCACAGCAGTAACGATGCTTGTTGCGTCGTACCTTAGCGGCCGTATCCGCAGCCTACATTGTGACCGGTGAGCGGTCGGCCTCCCGGAACCACTGGAAGGACATGATTTGCGTGTCCATTAATCTGCCTGGATGACTGGAGTTCCCCCCAGTCGTCCTGGCCTGGCGTACGTCTGACTGCTCACTTCGCCCTATCGTGAATGGCTGATCAGACGCAGTAACCGAATTGTCTCCGTACCGTCACAGAGACAAGGCTTACACAAAGTTTTGCTCGGGACGTTCTCCACGGGAAAAACATTCACGGCTTGCGGGATTCGACGAGCTCAGCTGTATACCGAAGGTCCTGATCGGCGAACGAACGTTCTTCTTCCGAGAGAAAATGTTACGATCGATGTTCTCCGACAATCAAAAACCGCGACTCGGAGGGGTAGAGCATGTCTGCCGATGACGACATTCGGGAGTATTCTCAAGTCTCCCGATGGGGCGAGGCGAAACCAGAGGCGGAAGAGGCCTGCTTCCCCTATTCGCTCAAATCGCTCAATCCCTCTCCGGGTAGAGATCACGCGGACTCAGGTCTTCCGAATATCAATCGGGCTGATCAGTGCGTTATGATTGTCGCTATGGGAATCTGAGGCGGGGAGAGGACTATAACTAGAAGAAAAGACGAAGAATCCCAGATGAGTCTAGCCGTCCAAATGTTCCAGAGCGGGTCACGCTCTACGCTAACTTCAAGTTGAACAACATTTTCCCTCAGAACTCTCGGTCGCGAAATCGGTTGCGCGCTCTATTCGGGGGAACGTATGCAGCCGATCGCGCTCGAGCTCTGCGTTTGCTGTATCTGAAAATTCCGGTCAAGGTCTCCTTCGGCTTCATCAAGAATCTAGGGGGGCTCAGTTATAGTTTCCGGAGTCCAATTGATCTCAATTTATCCAAAGGCAGACCGGGCGGTGTACAATCCGTCGATCCTTTGTCCCTCCAAGAGGGAATGACCTTCAGAATGAATATGAGCCTCCGTTCGTATCGGGCATGGCGCCGGCGGAGTCAGCCTTGCGGGGTGTTTGCCTTGCGGAAGGGGGGAGGCTCTCAATGAGTTATTGGTTCATCGTTCCTGATTGGTAGATTCACCGTGAGGCTCCTCGCGATTGAGATCGTGCCTTTCCAGAGTGGTTTACGCCGATCCCCGGCTGCTTCGATATCAAGTGATCATGGCCGCCCAGCTTAGTTCAAGCGAACTCCTGCTTCCTAATCAGGTCAGCCCGCCTTTCGAAGAAAATCCCAGCCCCGACATTGATCTGATCTTTCTCCGAACGAGAATCTTATTCGTGAGCAATTCCATCTCAGAGCGGCTCGTCCCAGGGGAAGCCTTCGATTCCGTGCCAGAAGTCTTCTTTGAACTGATACATTGAAAATACAAGGGTATTCATCGCAATCGACAGAGTTTATGAGAACAGCGCTACGAGCATCACAGGTCGCATGGAGAAGGATTGATCGTTCCTGAAATCAACCCCAATCGACAGCACGGTGGTATGCCTTCGAGCCAGGCCAGGGAGCTAAAGAATCACATCCTGTCGACGGTCCTTATGCCGAGAATCTTGAAGCACATCTCCATGACTTGAGCCGTCGCCTCGCACAGAGCGAGACGGGACATATTGACAGACTCGATCTCTCCGGTAGTTCTGTTCTTGACTATGCAGTAGCAGTTGTCGTAGAACTCGGAGAATGTTGAGCTCAGATCATACAAATAGTCGCATAACGGATGGATGTAGAGATCTTCCAGTATCGTCAGCAGGATTTCGGGGTACCTGGAGCAGGAACGAATGGTGAGACTCTGGCTTTGATTCATGAAAGGAAGGTACGGTGGCGATCCTCAAGTCTTGGGAGTCCCACATGAGCGATCGCGTAATTTCTTTCGAATCAGTCTCTGACTTCCAGCCAGCTTCATGTATCAGCACCCGGGATCAGTCAATTACTAACTTCAGGAGCTGTTTCGCCAGTTTAATCTCCTTCGGATGGTCCAAGTCGAGCTTCGTGATGGACTTTCTCAGCTCCGCCGTGTCGACCCCGGCTTGACGAGCAATGGAACGAATCCTCGTCAGGGAGTACAGGAGATACGCTGCGGTTTTACCGCGATCATCGAGCATCTGGAACGGGTACAGGGTGGTGGATTTGGACGAATAGGCTGACGGTAAAGGTATCGGTGGCAAGAGGACAATCGTCTTCCTCCGTTTCCTGTCGCTAAGCGTGGGACGAGTGGAGCATCCCGCCCCGGATTGCAAAGGCATAGAATCGTGAACCGCAAGCTGCCGCTCTGACTCACCCTATCGAAGGAACAGATGTAGTCGTTCGTGCGAGAGTTTACCAAGTCAGCGAACTTGATGCACCCGTAAGCCACGGCTTCCTGAGCTCTCTTGAGCTCCTCCGGTGTAAGTTCCTTGTCCCTACCTTTCGCTAATAACTTTTCTCTGCACCTGAAGTCGATCACAATGTATTTGTACTTCAGAATTCGGGAGATTCTCTCGTTGTCGGATCGATCCTCATTTCGCATGGGTCTCACCTCTGTAGACCCTCATCCAAGAGATCGTTGAGTTTCACGGTCTCGCCCGATCGTGTCTTCAGTTTCTTCCGGTCTTCTCCCAAAACTAGTCCGAATCCCACGAAGCTCAGCCTTGTCTTTTCGTCGACGTAGCCGGCAATCTGAAGCGAATGCATACATGGATTAGTGCTGATTATCCATTCGATACCATGCGGTGATCGAACATATGGAGTCAGGATATAATCCTCTGGGTTCTGGGAGCTTTCCGCTATCGGAGGGGAACCACGATACCTGTGCACATTTGAAGAGCTGTTTGAAATGAGAGGACTGACCGGAATCAACGACGTAAATCAACCAGTCGCCTTTCTCTACGCCCACTCGATGCCTTATCGACGCCATGTCGGAGGTATCGTAGGTGAAACCTCCGTCGCTCTTGACGATAGTCATCGGGACGAGGTTCTCTTCCTGCGGGTACATGACTTTGCGACCATCTTCGAGAGACAACAATCCTCGACGGTCGAGATCCTTGACGACATCGATCATCAGTTCGTTGTAGAAGCTCTCGCCGCGCTCCAGCAACGTAATGTCCAGTCGGTCATAGACGCTCTGCATCTCTTTGCGACTGACGTCGCAGATGAGCTGCCAGGCCTTAACTATGTCTTTTTCTTTCGACTGAAGACGCACGACGGCTTCATAGGCTCTGCTTTTGAATGCCGGGTCGCTATCGAACCTCATCTTGGATTCCTTGTAGAACTCTTGCAGGTCGGCGACCGGCGGGACGTTCTCCTTGTAGTCGGGGAATTTGTCCATCAGATGAGCGATGAGCATGCCGAATTGGGTGCCCCAGTCTCCAATATGGTTCAATCGGAGCACGTCATGCCCAACAAACTCGAGCAAGCGGCTGATGCTCTCACCGATGATCGTCGACCTGGGAGTCATAAGAACGCAGACGTTTGTTTCTGGGAGTGTCGAGGCAGGAGGGAATGAAAACGAGAGAATCTGAATTTCTCGACTCGATTTCTGCGAAATAGTTTCTCACCGCAAATGACCGACGTGCATCTGCTTGGCGATGTTCGGAGATGAGAAATCCACGACGACCCTCAGTTTTCGATCGACTCGCGGCGGGCTGACTCCGTTCTTGAGAATGCAGAGAGTCGCATCCCGCACGAAGTCCAGATTCAGCTTTATGTTGATGAATCCGGGACCAGCGATAGAAGTTGAGCCAATCAAGGATCCAGGAACTAGTTTCTCGACTACCCGTTCCGCGATTTCGACGGAGGATATATTCTGAGAGAAGAATTGGATTGAAGTAGCCGCCGGCATGGATTTCAGCACTGCGTGATCGATTCCGAAGTAGAAGCGTTGAGGTGCGAAGAGAATTAGGTATCGATTGAGCCAATGGAATAAATCATTGATGCTCACCTTTCCGACTTTCTTGAAATACTTAGTTGCCGGCATTGCGACGTTGCATTGGTAGTCTCCGAATTTCTCATTTGTTGAAGGCGTCACGCCAACCTGAACTTGGCCGGAGGCTTCGGGGAAAGCCGCATTGAAAGCCTGGTGCAACGTTGAAGTCAACTTAGGGATATGATACTGTGCCCTTATTCTTATGGTGACTGACCAAATGTTGTGATCGGAGTGCTGTTGATAATCATGAACCTCACCTTGGAAAATATTTCACTCAACAGAGTCAAGGCACACTTCGAAGTGTTTCCGTTTTCTTGCATGGGTGCGCATTCCCCGCCTTCGCGAGCTATACTCTGCAGGAAACATCTGAATTTGATTCGCGCTCCGTGGAGACGGGAGAGCATGCCATAGCGATGGGAGAGCCCGCGAATTCACATACCTTCTTCAGGAAATTGATGTGGTAGCGCAACTCAGCATTTTTGGACCGGAGCTCCGTCAATTCTTCGGGGACGTGTGATTCTGGGATCTCGCCTCGACGTAAACTCGCAACTTCCGCGATTAGCTCGTCGAGCTCAGCTTGCTGAAATAGAGGCCGCCTACATCTCAGATTCTGATCCCGTTCCACTCGCGTTCGATTCCGGTCGATTGTTTTTGAAAAAATAAGGGTGAATTGCTCGGATGCCCTTGGCATCCGCTGCCAATACGCGCCACGCGCTCGTACGGAATTCCATTCCGCGTTCATTTTACCCATATGGATCACTGTGCTTCTTGTCATTCCTGTGACGACCGTACTCTCCCGTCGCAATCTCGATGACGGGGAGACAGCATCCCTAGTCAAGAAGGATGTGTCTCGCGGAAGGGACTCGATTGAACTCCTCCATCGGAGTTCGGGATTTGTGAATGAAGTCAGTGAGAGCGCGCAAAGTGCTCGAGAGTTGTGTTCGTCTCTAAGAGCACCTCCCGGCATGGGAAAATCTCTCCCTCCCGTCCGAGCTCTTCGCTCGAGTCGTGGAAACTTGGAGGCGATTTTGGGGACGGAACCGGCTCGCTCTCGCAGGAGCAGGCAGAGCGGGTCAGTGCACATGGTCGGATCGAAACACACACTCATACACGTACGAAACGCAAACCCGTCGCACCGACGAAGAACTCTATCTACGATGCGGGAATCGATACCATTTCACGAAATTTCCTTACGCATTGCTGAGCGTCGGCTTGTAGCGAAGCCAAGGAATCAACTTCCATTTCTGCAGTGTTCTATTTTCCCCAAGTATTCTCTCCGGCATTGGTGCCGATGGCTGCCGGCTGGCAAAGGGGGCGGCCATTTTGGCAGAGGGCGCTTCAGTCAGTTGAGCGGGCTGGCGGACCCGAGAATCGTACGGCTCACATTCACAGAGCATGGAACGTCACGAGAACAGAGTCCGAAAATCCTTCGGACTTGCAAAGACAGAACGCAGAGCATGGAACCTCACGAGAGTCTACTCCGAGGATTATTGGACTCGCATGTACACAGCGTGGAGCATAGAAGCTTGAGAGAGTCGAGTCCGGTTTCTTAATAGTTCCATGCTCCTTGAGTCCGATAATTTTTGGACACATGACGGATGGTAGTCTCCAGTCTCCAGTATGCGAGCAATAGGCTCACGAACACTTTCAAAAACTACGGAATACATCATGGGAACTCGAGCCCTCAATTTGTAGGAAGAGCTGGGTGAACGGGCTTCCCACAAGAAATAGGGATCCTAGAGCGGAAAAAGTGAAAACCGGGACCGACTCGAGCTGAGAGCCGGAACCTCCGACCTTTGATTCCGAGTTCATTATATTCGGGACGTGTCTATCGACGGGTAGTGAAAGGTTCTCGGAGCAAAGCTGCTCGAGATAGCGCAGCGGTGTAGAAGCAGAATTCAAGACCGGGCCGTGGTACTTCATTGCGCCAGCCGGAGCTGGGACTCTTGATTGGCTGTCGAGGATTTAGACGGAGGGAGGGGAGGGGTTCGGCTCTCCGCTCCTGGGTCGATACTTGCCCTCCCCATTTCAGTCCCCGTTTTCCGGGTGACTCGTTCTTGCGCTTTGTATTCCACAGCTAACTCTCGCAAGTTCAGGAACGCGTTCCGTTCGCGGGAATCTCTCCAATGATTTCCCTCTCCAATACGCGGCCAGCGCAGCAGAGAAATTCGCGTCCGACGGTCAACACGACTAGCATTTCCAACCAGTGAAATTCCTGTGAATAAGTCAATCGTCGGGGCTATCAGCAAGAGCGACTTCGGAGCCGGATTAGACGAGTCATGTTTCCAGCACAGCATCTCGGTCGATTCGCTGCTCGTTCAGTTTCCAAATCGATAGATGTCTCGAAGGTCAATCCGTTCACGCTGCATCTGCTGTCGGAGTATTCGAAGTCGAGTAGAAACCAGCTCTTAGAGATACATGGGTCGCTCATCGAAATGCGCGCCCAACCATATATTGACCCGACCGAAATTCGTGTGAAGCCCAATCTTCATCCCGATCGGAGGAGTCCGAAGAGGCTTGATGCCGACAACCCCATCCCGGACCCTCTAGAGCGGCCTACTCTTACCCAAACACAGATTCTCCCCAATCGACTCGAACCGCTGCCAATTTCCGTCTCGTTCCAAAACGCTCATTCCGAATCGCTCAACAGTCATATGGACATTCCAGTCATGCTGAGGTATCAGGAGTTGGTACCAAAAAACCTCACCTCCATTGATGGATGCAAGTACTCCAATACAATCACAGCGGCATCTCGATCGAAAATCGGATCGCGTTCGCTCTTTATTGATTTTCTTCACAATTAATCACAAACGCACTCGACACCCGTGAGGCTGTACATCGTCATGGCTCATCCATCTTGATCGCTGTCTTTGTCGATAACGGATTCAAGATCTTGGATCTTCCACGGGGCGTGCTAGGAATAATAAAGGATAGCCGCGACATGCGAACAACAGTACGAGTGACGTTCCCGCATTGACGATCTGATCGCAGGAGCGCCAATGCCGTGAGGGGTGTAATGCACATAGCGTTTGTGGGACCTCCACCTCCTACGTGCCTTGATCCGATTTCGAGAATCAATCCTCTTCCGGGGGAATTTTGACGGCCAAGACATTATCTTCGCGTAGCATATTAAGGACACAAGAAACTGCTTGAGACAGTTGGTAGGATTCGTTAGAGATATCTCTTTCGGTCAACTCCGAGAGATCAAGAATGTCACCGGATGCCGCGGGTGTCCATGCTCGTCTGATTCTGGCCCAGGCTCTCGAAGCCCTTAGCCAAGCTGTGCGGAACATTCCTCATTCGTAACACGCGGTATACTCCGTTACCCCCTCGGAAGCATTCGCGTCAGCTCCGGAACGCCTACCGAGACTGTCACGTGCTATTCTCGTGGCAGCTCCGATCTTGGGCACGAGGTCATGCTCCATGCGGTGATCCAGGAACCGGTACTTGGCGCGCGTGCTCTGGGTTCGCCTCCCGTTTCCCCGCTTTCCACTACCCCCGTTTTCCCGTTTCCCCCCTTTACAGTTTCCCCCTTTTTTCCGTTCCCCCACTTTCCCGTTCCCCCCACTTTCCCGTTCCCCCACTTTCCCGTTCCCCCACTTTTCCGTTCCCCCACTTTTCCGTTTCCCCACTCCCCCTTTCCCCACAAACATGATCTTTCGGCATAAAATCGATCGACATCAATGACGAAGAGTGACCAGATCATCCTCAGGATGACTCCAACCGACCATGTCTGAATCGTGCTAAAGTTTTGGTTGAAGCGAGGAGAGATCAAGACTGACCACGTAAAGTTCCTGATTTCGAAGCATGATGAGATCGTTAATGGGACCATCATGGGTGTCCAAGTTCTGCCACGAAAGAAGAGAGGAGAAAGAAGTTCAACCAGATACTTCGCGAGTCTCTAGGAAACTTCCCGTGCGACTGCAGCACGGGCGATCGCTCACCGCAGGCACGTAGCGACGAATGAACCATTGAGAGCATCAATAAAATGACGTTTCATTGAAAGAATGTCTAATGATGTTTTCGAATAATAAACGTTCTCCGACGTGAATGATTACAGAACCTTATCATATGCGTCTTGTATGACCGGCGGAGAGTACCTATCTGTTTGCGTTCTCTCGGTTGACTGGTATAGTGGCAAGATGTACCGTGCCGTGGAGGAGTACTCGATCAGTACGAAACTTCTTCATGCATATATCACCGTGTCCCCATGAAGGCGGGAGAGAGTTGCTCTGCTTTGGATTGAAACTCACGCTTGTAGACAGCTGCGGCGCCAGGCAATGATTGTTGAACGCTTTCGTTAACCACATTTACATCGCAGTGTTTGGCAGCGAGCAGCGAGTATTGCACGTTCGATGAGCCAATCATGGTTTTTGTACTTCAGTACGATATCAGGGAATATACTTTCGATCGGCTCTTGTTTACCGGACGTTACTGCGCAGACGTCTCTCGGGAGACTTATACATATATTCATTGGACTTGTCGATGGGCATCTTCCCATTCCCGCTGTCTAGGAGTTGGCTTGCGGAGCGTTCAGCAGGAGCATCATGTTGCAGATGAACTCGCATATTCGTCTCCAGGAAAATTGTTTTCACCTGACGCTGCAAAGTAGAACATACACGGCGGGCAGCGTGGAATACACTCGCTGCCCGTTTTCTAGATGAGCCGCGAGATGGACATCAGTTGGTTTACGCTCATGGATCGCGAGTGAAAAGATACGTCCCAGTTGATATCGTTCGATCTCATCGAAATCTGCTGAATCTTTTTCCAAGCCGAACACCGCCATATCACTCCCTTTCGTTACGTATTTGCAAATGTACTTGATGGATTTGACCGAATTGCAGTAATCGACACTGATGTGGGCTTCGAAGATTTTTGAAAGCACGGGCGAATATGCAACAATCCATCGATTATCCACCTCGATCTCACTATCTTTGACTTTCAAGGTGAAAACCTTACCTCCATCTGCTACTGATCCTCTGCGATACTGTGGATGGCCATTAATACCGGAAATAGTTTCAGCAACCAAATTTCTCGGATACCGTTTGATCCATTTTCCATCTGCCATGCACGGAGAGTTCTTCTCGGAGTCGAGAACGCCACACGGCCCATAAATCATGTTCTTCACGACTACTTCGAGTGGACCGGTATCAGATTCGATATCGGGATATCGGCTGATATGATATGATCGATATCTCCCGGTCTGATTCCGCTAGCCAACCAGATCAAAATATGAGCAACGGTAGGCCTCTCTTTTGCCATTCAATCGTGTACATCCAACAACGGGATCTCCAAACACTTCATGTTTCACGATCATACCCATCAATGATTTCGACGTTTGCTGGAAAACCCGTGCTACGATGTCGTGTCGATCCGAAGACGACTGTCCAGGGCCTAGGAGAAGTTTGATTTCATGCCATGGAAGATTACAGGTGAAGGTTATGAATAGATCTGGGCTACCATAAACTCGGACATAAGTCATGGCATCCTGAGTATATTCGTATATATATGTGGCGTGGACGGCCCGTCAATGTCACGGGGAGGATAAGCATCTTCCCTAACTTTCCCGCATCCGCATTGCCATCGGTTGTCATTGCGTCACGCAAATGAACGTATCCCTCCGATCACAACCTTGTTTGATTTAAATGAAGGAGCAACAGTCTTCCGGATACAATTTTTGCATACATGTCGACAACGTATTGAATGAACAGATGTCGGCCCTCCAGCGAGTACTTCTCGGTATTCTGCCGCTCCATCAACCGATAAGCGTAACTGATCTAACCGACTTTTTTCTCTGTTTCTTCATCCGTTTGAGGGTCCACCATATTCGAATTGAAACGGTATCCATCTTGACCTTGGTAAAATAAAATCGGGAATCGGAGAGCATCATATGAACCTCGCTGAAGTTTCCGTCGTAGATTTATTCCTCGGAAATGATGGACACGCTGCCAAAAGAATTCATTGTGACCGTCGCCGGACATTTCGCCGAGGACAAATAGTTCCGCGTGGATCTTTTCGTGGAGGAGAGTTTGGTGGTGGTGGACCTTCGAGCTCCTGCTCTTCCTTCTGCCGCACGGTCTCCAGCCATTCTCCTTCCTGCTATCAGGGCGTGCGTGTCTTCCCCGGGGGACAGTCTGCACATGATTCGCTCCAAGAGAATCTGCTTAATCCCCTCGACCCCGCCCGGGTGTAAGTCGCCTTATACGGGCCTTCCTTACCGCTCTCTAGGCCAGTGGTTCTCA